TAAATTACTTATATTTGAAACAATTAAATTTAGATTTTCTTGTAGTAAACGAAACCATGTCATTTTCTCTCTCAAAGTTAAGGTTCCAAGAGCATTTTAACTTAAAATACCAGAACTAGTATAGTATAAAATAATCGGGTAGGCTATTGAATGTATATTGGCTTTACCGCAGTTTAACATCGATATCTTGGTAGTTTTATTATTCATATTATATATAAATTAGAAAAAAAATCTGTATTATTATATTATTCATATTTGTTAGATTGTCAACAAAAACAATCGGATACATGAATATGCTGGTGCATATACACGACTGTCGAACTGCTATGAACCAAGTACCACAGTATAACAGGATATGATGGTATTGAAACAGAATAGCATGTAATAATAATATATAAGGTATATATGGTTTACGTAAGTAACCAACATCCTTTATTAGGCCCACCTCACATGTAATTAAACGTTTTAGTTCTCATTGGCCACTGTACATTTATCTACTTTTCCGCTCAAAATCCATCTCTTTGGCTAATTTACTGTGAAAATCGCACGGAGGTATATTACTACAATTTTATGCTTCAAAATGGCGGCATAACTGATGACATACATACATACATACATACATAACATACATACATACATACATACATACATACATACATACATACATACATACATACATACATACATACATACATACATACATACATACATACATACATACATACATACATACATATATACATACATACATACATACATACATACATACATACATACATACATACATACATACATACATACATACATACATACATACATACATACATACATACATACATACATACATACATACATACATACATACATACATACATACATACATACATATATACATACATACATACATACATACATACATACATACATACATACATACATACATACATACATACATACATACATACATACATACATACATACATACATACATACATACATACATACATACATACATACATACATACATACATACATACATAACATAACATAACATAACATAACATAACATAACATAACATAACATAACATACATACATACATACTTACATATATACATACATACATACATACATACTTACATATATACATACATACATACATACATACATTTACATATATACATACATACATACATACATACATACTTACATATATACATACATACATACATACATACATACATACATAACAAAGACTAAAGTCGTTGTATTTTTCATCTTCTGTACAATTCTAAAATAAGATAAGATAAGAACATGAGGTAATAATATTATTTCGAACAAAAAAAAGACAAAATAAATAATGTAAACTATATGATAGAATATAAAGTTATAAACTATTAGATACAGTATAAACTGTTAGATAGAATATAAACTAATATATGCAATATAAACTAATAGATGCAAAATAAACTATTAGTAAAAGATACAATATAAACTTTTTGATACAATTTTAACTATTAGATACAATATAAACTATAAGATACAGTATAAACTATTAGATACAATATAAACTAATAGATGCAATATAAACTAATAGATGCAAAATAAACTATAAGATACAATATAAACTGTTAGATACAATATAAACTGTTAGATACAATTACTATTAGATACATTATTAACTATTAGAAACTATTAGATACATTATTAACTATTAGAAACTATTAGATACAATATAAACTATTTAATGGAAGAAATTTACATCGCCTTAACATTTGACACCATATTATTTTAAAAGATAAAATACGCTTCTTTTTTAAATAAGTTTATCAGCTGAATTATAAAAAGAAATTTGCTCCCCGTTTTGAATCTTCGGTGTGTTGAGTATTTACATTAACTCTTTAAACTGCATTTAAATGATTATCAATAACAGATGTCTTTGATATGGACAGAATTACCGCTATCATTATAATAATGATAATATTTTTATTTCATTAAATGAATGACCGCACAACACAAGCACTATTTATGTAAGAATGTAATCTTCATGAAAGTACATCGTAGTGTAATTCTAGGTCTATTACATATTTTGGCGCGTTAAATGATAAAGTCAAAGCTATTCAAATATTTATTGAACGATTTAGATATTTTTTCCAATGTTTCTATTGAAATTAACTCCAACTGTGTTTATCAGCGGATGCAGTAACAGTGTAGTTGTCTCCCTTTCATCGCAGTTTTGTATGAAGAAAACCAGCAAGCTTTGTCAATCTATTAATGCTATGATTAAAATACAAAAAAAAATGTAACTGTGTATTCACATATTTAAGAAATGCCATTGAAAAAAGCATGATTGTCGCATTTCTTTGTTAAAAAATTGTAAAAGACATGAATTAGAGTATTGCACGTGAATTCCTCTAATTAAACTGGTTTAATTCTGTCCTAATTATGCTTTTTTAAGATCACTTGTTATTTCTCTTCCATTTTTGCTTTATTCTTTGACGCATGTATGCATTCTTTTTTAAATGAAGCTAAGATATTGTATATGTATGCCTTGAATGAAATAAACTTAAAACTTTGAAATTTAAGATATTTAAGGATATTGGACCATGTAAAACGATAAAATTTTCAGAATATAGATACTATTTTCTGCTTCATAATAACTGAATAATATATATATATTTTTATAAAGTTACGTTTGGCTTTTAATTTATCATTCGTTAATATAGGGAAGTAAATCTATTTTGAATTTCCTAATTAGTTTTAGGTCAAAATTTACCATAAACATGAGAGTAGGTAGTCATATAATATATTAATGAATTGTATTAAAATAAAATGAAATTTTGTTTAAAACCCAGCATTACAACATCTACATAATCTGCATTTCTAGAACACAATATGTTCGTTATTGTCATATTCAATTTCATATTTTGAAAATTAAATATTCATCTAAAAGACGCCGCATTCTTGCGCAAATAATGCAACCTGTTAGTTACCGGGGTTAATTATTTGTAAAACAGTCTTTAAAATTAGTTCTTTATCATTAAACAACAAACTGTGATTTTTTAACATCATGTAAACAAGCTAATAGCAATTAAACTCTCACATGTCCATTTATCTACAATTAGCCTGTTAAATGCACAGTTACAATTGTAATTCGATAATTGACTGATTTTAATTACATTATCAAGATTAAAGGTAATTTACCGACAAACAACTGTCGACCTGAGGGTAAAAAATTGCCACATATGACCGATTGAGATGCTAGACATTTTCAACTTATCATATTGATGCGAAAAATATAATTTTCGTAAAAATGAACAATAGCTTTTGATTATTCGACGGATTAGTGTTCTTCGTTTGATCTTAACCGTCGGGTCCCCAGAGGCTAGCGTAACCACAACGCGCGGTCTGTTTACATATGACATACGCACACACTTAGTGAGATTCAGAAAATAAAATTCAACCCTGATTCCCGTTGAGATAAGATCCTTTAGCAAATAAATATTTTTATTTCCCTGACAAAAAAAGAAGAAAACTTCTTTATCAATAATTTGTGGTAACTAAGATTTTGTTCAAATTGTTACAAAAAAGAAAGGCTCGTAGTGGAGTGCCTTGTCTAAAACTAGCCGTGTTATCTTTTGATTGGGTTATTCTTCAAACACAAGATACCACATTGTTACTGTGAACAATAATGGCCCGCAGAGTCACTTTAAGTTGATTATCGATTTATTGATCAGCAATCGTCACCTGTCTTTTTTCTTCTTCCATTTTTTACTATCTTGTCAATGATACAATTAAGCCACATTGTTACAAAAAAAGTTGTCGGTGTTACGTGTAAAGATGCTGGCTACAGAAAATCGCAACAATTTTACAAAACATTACAACCCCCATTGATATAATATCTGACAATTAAGCATCTATCTTTTACAATTATCTTTTATTTCATATTCATGCATCTAATATTGTTGTATATGAAAAAGTGCTAAAAATAAAATATATGCCCTGTTCTATGAATTCATTGATATACAAGAAAGTTATAAAGTGCTGATGACAATAAGATTATATAATAGTTTATTACAACATGGCAAGTATAACAATATTGAAAGAACTTTTTTAACTATGAATTTACTCTTTATATTTAAAAATATGTTAATTTACTCTCAATTTAATTAATATATGATAATTGATATCAGATATTTATTTACTAATTTAGTATATAAAATGATTAAAATTATCTCTTTTTTGTTGTTACATTTATTATTATTTGTTATTTTCATTTTAATCAAAACATAACAGACTAAATGTAACAACGTTATGACATTCGTGTAAAGTTTAGAGAGGCTGATTTAATTTTAACATCCACATTTAACATCAAATTATGGTCAAACCTTGAAGTTTTTATTGCTATATCATGTTTGTAACATTTTACGACGAAAATTTACGATAATATGTTAAACGTGTTATATTCAAGCGAACGCTAGACTTTGACATAGGTAATTTGGCGGCAAAAATGTCTTTAAGGAAATATATATATGGTCTTATGCAAAGTTTCGCACCAAGATGTCTGTACCAACTATAGATAATTTCCGATTATTCACGTCTCGTGGCAATTGTTTGAGGGTGTTAGAGGATTGTATCTAAGTAATTTTAGTTGTCGGAGATTTGCTGTCATAGATGCAATTTTCATTCATCACTGAGTTTGGATATTTTATTTTTACTAATATCTCAAACTACTATCGAAGTGGCAAAAAGGGAGGTTGTCGAATTGACTCAGTCACGCGCCGTCAGCCAATCAGAAACGATTATTGGTTTTTGTCGCGTGCTCGGCACGACCCAGTGCGCAGGCGCGCGCTTCATTGGCTGTCGGTGAAGCAATTATCCCACCTTTAATGGACAGTCTATTGTGTCGTTCTCAACTCAAATTGACATTTCATCCTTAATGCGCACAACTTTTTAAGAATCAGTATAAAAGCTTTCTGGCCACAAAATTTGGTCACATTCAAACATTTTGATTCATACGAAAAACAGTTATCACTAGTGCCTTAAAATAATTCTTGAACAGTACCAGAAACTATGAAAGCTGAAATGGAAAGTGTTGCAGGCTCACCAGCTGGAAGTTTGATGAGTGTAAGTAGTGCAACCACCCCTGGAACACCAGGTTCGGGACATTATCGTCTTAACAGCGTTTCTGCTTCAAATGGATATGAACTTTCTTCATCCGATTCCTTTGATTCCGACATGGAGAATAACAATATGTTTGGACATTTAGCTACCTCATTGACGACTATGATCAGTAATGAAGCAAAACGCTTCAAAGCTGAACCTACGGATATTGAAACAACACCAAAGAAGAAACGCTACACAAAATCTCGTGTCAGAAATCGAAGTCCATCATTGGTACAGAAGTTAAAGAAAACCCGCAGAAGTAAAGCTAATGACAGGGAACGCGCTAGAATGCACAACCTCAATGACGCTCTGGAAAGTCTGCGAAAAATTCTGCCAAACAGCGGTGATGAAAACAAACTTACTAAAATTGAGACACTAAGATTTGCCTACAACTACATCTTTGCGTTAAGGGAGACATTAAATGTGTTAGATCGCGGAGAAACAATTGACGAAACTCTGTTTTCTTCTCAGATGTCGGCTGCACTAAAGATGCCATCTGCTTGCCAAACTTTGTCTAATCTTCATCAGCAGCAGCAACAACTTCAGAAACAACAACATATACATCATCATCAACAACCGGCTCAACTTTCTCCAGTAGGTCAACAACAACAACAGTTATCACCAGTTAACATGCAGCACCATCAACAGCTATCACCAGTGAGTAGTCATCAACAATTATCACCAGTTATGCATCATTCTCAACAGTATTCTAACGGAATAGTTTTACCTCAGTCTCAAAACAACGCTACCGTCGTGAAAATGGAACCTGTGACATCACAACAGTGTCGTAATATGTCGTCTGCAAATGAAAACATTTACCAGAATCCGTGTTTTACTACAGGAACAACTACAATGAATCAGGTACAAGACTTTCATGTAACTGTTGCTCAATCACAGAACTATTTATTATCATCATCATCAGTGCCGTGCTATTCCCAGTTCTCGAGCCCAGTACCATGGGTCGGTGCTCCTCGTGCTACGAACGTTTTCACATTCGATCATCCTCATTCACCGGCAGGATTTTCAGATACATCTGAAGGATATACATTTGAACTTGTTTGAGCGGTTTAAAACAACTTTAAAGACGATCTCAAAGGAACATTCCGTAATATATGTGGGTATGAAAAAATATATTTTTTGTGATATATTTGTTGTATATTATGATTACTAACACTCGACAGTTAATGTGCTTTCAAATCCAAGGACTTGTGTCATCATTATTCGACAGGACAATTAATGTATTTTATCAGAAATAACATCTTCTCATTTTTTTAATCAAACCTAGTTTATTTTTATTATTATTTTTTCATCAATTTTATTATGATGATTTATTCGTTGTTTCGTGTTTTAATCTCATTAAGCTTTATTTTTGTTTTAGATAATCGATTGACTTTAGAGATTACTCTTACAGCCTTATAAAGAATTCATCTTTTTCTGGCAATGTTTACTACAAACATTGCAAATAATCGATTTTTTGCATCTTATAACTTATTTACCATTGTTTTATCGATAAACATAACTTTTAATAGATTTCCAGTAATCAGATTATTTAATAGGAAAAAAACCGACACAAATAGAACTTGCAAACATTTTTGTATTTTTACTTAAGCTAAAATTGACTTTTATCCTGATCCTTAATATTTTCGTTTCGTATTAAGGGTCGGTTTCATAAAATGTCAAAGAGTTAAGTATTTCTCTTTTTGAATATAACTCTTAAAATTGTGAAGAGGTTTAAACCGCTTTCGATAAAAAATGCATTTTTTTAATCTTAGCTACTTGAAATTTTTAATGTATTTGCTCTGATTTTTAACTTGATGTTCTTGACATTTTCATATTCTCACTTTGCATAAGTTAAATCTGTGAAAATTTCGACATTATCTTACATTTTTGATATTTTCTAGTGAAATTTTTAATCTTGTTCAAGTATATCTGTCCCTTTTTTGTTTTCGTTTCGGGAAAAAGGGTCAGTTATTCACTTTTCGTTTAATTATTGCTTACTAAGTAACCGTTATCAATATTTATTTTTTCATTTATTTGAGAAAAATGTCACACTTACTCTTCTTTATTTTTCATTTTCGAAAGAAGGGTAAAAATATATAAAAGTGATCTCGTTTATGACTTCAAGGAAAGCAAGTGTGTGTTTAACATTGCCATCTTTAAATCAGCTACCGTGATTCTAATTTTTAATCAATTTCAAAACATTATTTGTCAATTTTAAAAGGGGTGTGTTTTATCTAACATATCAGTTTGTTCCTAACGGAATACCACTTTCATCACGTTTCAAATTTTATTTCATTCAACTTTAGATAGTGTCTGTTTATCGGGATGTACATCAGTTGTCAAAGTTAGAAATAGCTGACCCGTGTAAATTTCACTACTAGATAGAGCTAGATGATTATCATTTAAATTTCAATTAGACTCAGAGGTTTGACAGATTATGCGGAAAATTGGCAATAATGAATTGTAGCCACTTTGTTCTTTTTTATGAAAAAGCTTTAATCTTATTTTTTATACCTTTTAGTCTATTGTCCCTATATAACGATATTATCTTGGTCTTAAAACCTTTTAAAAATATATATATTATGTTTATATTTATAAAAAAGTGTTCAAAATGTATTGATAAGTTTTTACTATCGTAATTGCTCAGAATATTGGTGCCTTTTCCACGGATTTTTGTATATTTTGTAAAATTTTGTATATTTTGTAAAAAAATGTACATTTTTGTATATTATGTAACTATGCAGAGAAATTAAGTTTATAAATGAAATAAATTGCAAAAACCCTTACATTGTGTTGTTTGTATTTTAACAAAAACTTTTTATTTTAAGTAAAAAAAGAGCGGATGAAACGACAACACCCTGCACCCTGAACTATATAAAATTCCTCCCAAAAATTCATCGTCCAAGAGACTTTAATCTTTATTACTACAATTCTATATTGGCTACAATTAACATTGTATATGCGGAAAATGGTACAGAAAATCTCGTCAAAGTTTTCATTTGTATTTTTCTGTAGCCAAATGAATACCCCAACCCCTTCGACAAACTTAAAAGGAAATATATCTGCAATGAAGCAATATGGAAATCAACAAATTTTTATTACCGAAACGCTTTCTTAACATTTGCAGAATTTTTACAAATCTTTTAAAGAAAAAAAAATCGAGATTTTACTTAAGCCTCGACACTTGAACAGAAGACTGACATTTTCGTGTAAAATGCACGGAGAAACAAAGCAAATTGAAGACATAGAAAAAAATCTATATTGTTAAAACAATATGGAAATGTCCTGATTTTATGCAATGAAAGTAAAATACCATAAATATAGAGGAGGAGAGTGAACTTAATATAATCCATGTTATAAAAAAGCATGATAGTCCCATTGACAAAGTTCTGACTCATCGGTAATGTTGAGGACATAAAGATACTTGCCCCGTGTTAATTTATAGAGTATAACCTAACATTTACATCACATAAATATATTTTACATTGTTAATTAGGACAGATATTCAACATAAATTTAAAACGCTGCGTTAAAATTTAAAGATTTATGGCGAAAAACACAATTACCTGTAAAGAGACGCTGTGACGCGCCACTTTACATCTTTATTAAGGATTAAATGGGGACGAATTGCGGCATTTCAGTTATAATTTATGTATAAACCACACCTGACTTGCGAACCAAATAAATTTCTCTAGATAATTCCTAATTTCATAACAATTTACTTTATATATATAGCTAAAAGGTATACATATAAATTTACGTTACCGTACCTTATACGACACTTTCAGAAGAATAACAATTGCCATTCAAACCTGTTTCGCATTTTTTTTCATATTTAGTATATAAAGAACATTAGCATGGTAAATTTATAAAACGAAAGAAATCAATCGAGTCAAGGTGACCCGTGCCCGACAATGACACACTCTTGTGAATAAAATTCCAAATACATTCTTCATTCAACATATCTTTGGCATAACCTCTTGATATAGACATTATAAATAATTTATGTTTCAGGACACAATATTCTTGGACTTGTTATCATGTTTAATGATTGGAATGATAATTCATTTCTTACCACTGTTACCCCCTGAGACCTGGCTTGGTCGGTCGCTGTTCCAAGACCATAGATTATTATTAAATTATTACTAAGAACTGGAATGAAATGATACAACAATAAATATAAATAAAAAAACATCAAAAATTTTATATTTTATTACCTCCATTATAATCGGGTGTAGGACATAAAGCAATTTACTATGTATATTGGTGTATGTATTATTTGATGGCGAGGATAAGATAACATATATATCTCATCTTATCATGATGAAATATCAAAATCTGTCAATATAACTTATAATGACAAATTGATACCAGCGTAAAACGACACGGTGAAAGTATTCGAAATTTGCCTTTTTTGTCAATATTAGTTTTTATTAATACTCACGTTATGTTTGTAACATCAATGAGGTATTGAAGTTTACATAAATAACATAAAAATACCAATTTCTGTGTCAATATTTGCAAGTTTCAAATTGTTTTTATAAATTATCAACCCTGATCATTGACTTCCTTATCTAGGTGTTCAATATTATTTTTATTCTGGCATCTTTGGGCAAAACATTACCGAATAGTAGACCTTACACTGTTATATCAATATTGACAAATTTTAAATTGTTTCTTGAATAATTGAGTAATTGCGGCATGTTCCATTTGGTATTTGGACATGACATGGGTATGTCAATGTATGTAATATTAAAATCAAAGCAAAAAAATCATAAAAAGCCACCACTACACTCGTTTATGTTGAAAATTAACTTTCATTATAAATGCAAAATTTATAGTCGGTGTTTCGTAATATTGTTTCTTGTGTATGTTCTTTAATATTGTCATTAAATTATAACGATATGGGAGCCGTACAAAATCCTTCTGTTGCAGAATCATAAAGCAAATTCTCTATTCATGAACGCTACAAATACAAATTTATAGTAAAAATAAATAATTATAAACAGTAAATTGTCTTTGTATACTCGTGAAATCTTTACGTGTTGAATACGTTAGAAATCAGTTTATACATATATCAATGTTTCTGAAATAGATAAAAACATGTCAATGCAGGTATCTCCTTCAATAACAACCTTTTTTCTAGGTTTTAAATCAATAATTTTTAATATTTTTGCTGGAACAAAATTAGTGGTATACTCGCACTGGTCCTCATAAAATGCATGTTTTAAAATCATTGAAGTGGCCGCTCATCAATTAAGCGATACTGATCTATGTAAGGAAGTGTGATGGCTACAAACAGAACATGTTCCTCCGGAGCGTGGCAGTGAAATGACCGCTGCACGTGATCACCGAGCCGTGTGCAAAAAGGTTATTTATTATCTAAAATTATCTAAAATATCGGCAGCTAAGTGAGAAAAAACGATGCGTTTTTCAATTATCTGTTATCTAGAAGAATAAAATCAGTGAAAAAAATATTACTGGTTGTAACTGGAAACTTTCTAAAAGGAAGCAAATGTGTATTGGCGTGTGCAGCGCAACAATGAATTCCAAATTAAAGCCCCATTATTTAGATTTTCAGTGATTGTGATCTCCATGACAGATTGTTGTCTTTGGGCAACTTTTCATTCTAACACTGGACCTACGACGGCCAAATCCTAGATATTGTAAATGATTTTAACTACCTTGGTACTGTTTTTAACTATACTGGTAATTTCACACTTAATCAGGAACATTTAATAGGGAAAGCATTAAAGGCTCTAAATGTTTTATTTTATAACTGTAAGAAATTTGATTTTAAACCAAAAACATTATGCCAGTTATTTGATGCATTTGTAGGCTCAATCTTAGGATATGGATCTGAAATATGGGGGTACACAAAATCTAAAGAAATAGAAAGAATTCATTTAAAATTTTGCAAACGATTATTAAATGTAAGACCTAATACTTGTTCTGCTGCTGTTTATGGTGAATTAGGAAGATATCCATTATATGTGTCCCGTTATGTTAGAATAATTAAATTTTGGTGCAAGTTGAAAAACTCGGATAATATCATTTTAAATACAATGTATAGAGAAGGTGTAATTGATTGTAAAAGAGGGTGTAAAAATTGGGTCTCAAATGTGAAGAAGTTGTTATGTGATTATGGTTTTGCTGATATTTTTGATTGTGATAATTATATAGATCCTAAATTGTTTCTTCAAAAATTTAAAAGTAGAGTTATTGATACGTATAAACAAGAATGGGCCAGTATCCTAGATCGAAGTTCTGTTTTATGTAATTACAAACATTTTAAATCGTGTCTTAGTTACGAAAATTATCTTGACATTTTACCACGTAAATTTAGAATGTATTTTTGTCGATTAAGACTATCTGTTCATCCTCTCAAAATACAAACAGGAAGGTATGCCACTAATAACATTCCTCGTGAACAAAGATACTGTCAGTGCTGTAATGTTTTGGATATAGAGGATGAGTATCATTTCATATGTGTGTGTTCAAGTTTTGTAGATTTACGTAAAAAATATATAAAAAGTTACTATTATAACAGACCATCTATGTTTAAATTTACTGAATTATTGTGTATCAAAAATAAAAAAATATTGATAAATGTTTGCAAATATATCAAAGAAGCTTTAAAGCTAAGAAATACAATTTTGAACTCTCAATTGTAGTTTATCCTCTCATAAATTTGGTGCTTGTAATTGTTTATTTATATTTACTATAATGACTCGCCATACATATATTCATGTGATTATGTTGTATATATTATTCAATTCATGTTAACAAGACGATGTACTTTGTATAAGTCTAGAAAAAAAAAAAAAAAAAAAAAATAAAATTTCTGTTCTGTTCTGTTCTGTTCTAACAGGAAGATTTTTATCAGTGCCTTACTCTAATCGGAAAAATAAATAGGGCGTTTGTTTTACGCAAGTTGGCGTAATGCGGTGAAATGCGAACTAATGTTGCACTTAACTGTGCATTTCCGTAATAGGTTCATACTCACGTTTCTTTCTCTTCAACTAAGAATAAATTATAAATTCATGAACTTTTTTAACGTCAGAACGTGTGTAAAATGATTTTTTCCCCTTTTAAAACCTATGAAAAGCAAAGAAATGAGCTCATTAAAATCTTGAACGTCTTACACGCGATAGATATCATCTAAAATTTCCGTCAATTTTAGAAATAAGACACTCTTTATGTTCTTTGGGTCAGTTAAACATAGATAATTTACTTTGACAGTCATGTCATGTAAGAAGCTGACTAAAGCGTTTATATTGAGGCCATGTTGACATAAACTGGTCAGTGGAAGATCTATAAATGCTTTGATGTCCCCATAAGGTCATTGCTATGCTGACTTCCGGATATACTTGTTCACTTATCTGTGATCTTAATAAAGTCATAGATGAGGTTTCATATATACCACAAGTTAATGAAAAAATCCATATCGAGAAGCAATCCATTTGGATTCAGCAAACTAAATAACTTAGAAAACAAGGTTCTAAGATGCCAAAACCATCGTCAAAATGGTCATGTGTGCACATTATGACAACCTCTCTAGTTTAACTTCGTCCCCAACTAGCAAAGAAACAGTTGTGATATTTCCTTGATCTTTGATATCTGTACTTAGCTTAACTGTTTTTTCTTTCTTTCAAATACCAAACCGTTACTTTCTTCTTTACGTTTAACTATAATAACGATTTGAATCAATATTACGATATTGAAATAGGTTATAGAAGAATGTATTTTTTTACATAAATAGGCCATTAA